GTCACTGCTGGCCCAGAGAACGATGGGACACCAGACCCGTTTCTGGGGCCTGGTCAGTTTACGAGCTCAGAGTTCTCAGGAATGAGGGGTGTTTGCCAAGCTCCTCAGTCCCTGACAGTGGGCCCCTGTTGGAAAGGGATGAGGGAGCCTGCCTGGGGCCCTCTGGGGCTGGGGCTTCAGTGGCTGTGAGTACCAACTGAGGCCTTAAGGAAGAGGGTTCAGCCAGAGTAGAGAGCGCCCTGCTGACACCTAGATTGCCCTGAATGGCACCTTCTACGTGTAGCTGAGCAGCCTGGATTATACTTCCCAGACTCCTTTGCAACTAGATGTGGTCATGTGACTAAGCTGTGACCAATGGGATGTGTGCACAAAGTGATGTGAACAACTTAAGGGTCAGGGTCTTCTTTGCCCCCCTTCTTCTTGTTGGCTGGATGGTAGATGTGATGGTTAGAGTTCTAGCAGCCATTTCGGACCATAAAGCAACTCTTCGAAATCAACAGAACAAGATAGGAGAAACCAGGGCCCTGACATCATGGATCCTCACAGAAGAAAATAATTTCTGTCTTTTTAAAGACGTGATTATTTGAAGTTTCCTTTTACTTATGGGCAGCACTATTCCTAACAAATACACTGTCTTTGGGTTGAAGAGAAGTTGTCATCATTTTCAGAAGGATAGATCATGCCTAATGATTTCTGTCACTTTATGTTTCAAATAAGAGGCCTCTGGGATGGGGAAGCTCTTCCCCAGTGTGTAGTCTGCCCAGCAGTGTGTGGCCCAAGTGGGTGAACAGCCAGGCTTTGAATTTTAAAAACTTTCCTGCAGCTTCTATAATAATTGGCCACAAACCTGGTGGTTCCAAACAGTACAAAGTCAGTATCAGATGTTTTTGGAAGTCACAAGTTTGAAATGAGTCTCACTGGGCTAAAATCGAAGTGTCAGCATGGCCGGTTCCTCTGTAGGCCCCAAGGGAGGGTCCATTTCCTCACCTTTCCAGCATCTAGAGGCCGCCTGCACTCCCTGGCTTGTGGCCCCTCCATCTTTAAGGCTGCAGTCAGCACTGCTCCGGCCTCTGCTTCCATCATCACATCTCCTGACTCTGACACTCCTGCCCCCACCCCCTTATAAGGACCTTTGTAATGACTCTGGGCCTACCTGACATTGCCCATCTCAAGGTCCTGAACCCATTCACATCCATTAAGTCCCTCTTACTGTGTATCACATGTTCACAAGCCCTGGGATGAGGACAGAAACATCTTTAGAGGCTGTCATTCTGTTCACCAACAGTGGTTAAGGAATCAAGCAGAATGTCCAGATTCCAGACAAGGGCCAGCCCTGGAACCAACGCTCTGCAGGGGGCAGATGACAAGGGGGCTAGA